TTTTCAGGCCAACTGTGCGTTTATGGGCTCAACTGTGCGTTTTTAGCCTGAAACAGGCCAACTGTGCGTTTACAGGCCAACTGTGCGTTTACAGGCCAACTGTGCGTTTACAGGCCAACTGTGCGTTTACAGGCCAACTGTGCGTTTACGGCTCAACTGTGCGTTTATGGGCTCAACTGTGCGTTTTTAGCCTGAAACAGGCCAACTGTGCGTTTACAGGCCAACTGTGCGTTTACAGGCCAACTGTGCGTTTACGGCTCAACTGTGCGTTTATGGGCTCAACTGTGCGTTTTTAGCCTGAAACAGGCCAACTGTGCGTTTACAGGCCCAGCTGTGCGTTTTCAGCCTCAGCTGTGCGTTTTCAGCCTCAACTGTGCGTTTTCAGCCCAGCTGTGCGTTTTTCAGCTCCAGCTGTGCGTTTTCAGCCCCAGCTGTGCGTTTTTCAACCTCAACTGTGCGTTTCAGGTCCAGAAACGCACAGTTCGAGCCCAGAACGCTGTTTTCAGCGTTTAACTCGTTCAAGCACGATTTGAACGGTTCCAGAACCGTTTTCTCCCCAAGATTTTAGGGGATCACTACCCTATCATGGAGAGATTTATGGGGAGCAGTTAGACCCCATTAAACCCTCATTAAGGAGATATTTAAGGGGGCGGTTATACCCTTAACCCCCTATAAATACCTCAAAACTCAACTGAGTTCGGATCCTCTTTTTTGGAGGGGGGGAGCTGACTTTTTGGGGATCCTTGATCGAGCATCTTGCCGCGTTCTGCAGCAACAAGGAGTTTTGGAGACCAGCAACAGGAGCTTCTTCCTTGGCTTATTAACCGAACTTTCGGTTCAAATCAACTCTTTTTCAAGAGTTCAAACTCGTTCAGAGTTATCAACTCGATCAGAGTTCAAAACTTGCTCTGCAAGTTCTTCTAAAACTAGTTCAGAGTTATCAACTCGATCAGAGTTCAAAACTTGCTCTGCAAGTTCTTCTAAAACTCGTTCAGAGTTATCAACTCGTCAAGAGTTATTTCAAAACTTGCCACGCAAGTTCTCCACAGCGTCAAATCGTGAGGAGATGACATCGTTCCAGTGAATCAAGACGTTCGGATCGTCAACGAGAAGCAAACTCGACGCGAGCATTCGAGGGAGGCATCTCATCGCCACCGTGAAGAACCCAGAATTAAACAAAGGGGAGAATCGAATTCATTCTCCTCTCTTTTGTAATCGGAATCCAAATTGTAATTGATTTTGAGAGGAATACAAGTCAAATTTTTCTTTCATTATTTCTTTTACTGCAAATTACCAACAAACAGCCCCTCGAATAGCCATGATGTGTTGACACAAACCCCTCATATTAACACATTATAGCAATCTGAGGGGCTAATATAAAAATATGGATATTTAAGAGGCTAATATCTAAAAAACCCTAACAAAAAAAGACAACAATAAGGGGCTGTTTGGTTGTTGTTGGTAAAGTTGTGTGTTTATGACACAACTTAGAAAGTTGTTGTCCACCTCATTAATTTTACTGAGCAACTTTTCTTTGTTTGTTTTTTATTCCATTGGAATCATAAATTGCTTGTTTGGTTTGTAAAATATAACTTTAATTGCTTGTTTGGAAAGTGTAAAAAGTTAGTTATTGTGTGGTCCCTACTCAAATAATTTCATTGGCCTAGCCCCTCACTTCTGACACATATGTCAACTTTCTTTCAAAATCAGACCATTTTGAAGGGATTTGTGAATCCATGCCACATCAGCATAGTAAATCACTTTACACTATTTTCACAACTACAAACAAACAATTAAAAAGTAAGAAAGTTGACACTGAGACCCACTTTTTTACACTTTCCATCCTTTTACATAGTAAAAATTTACAACCAAACAGCCCCTAAAACTTCTGCATAAGCAATATTGGAATATCAAAATAACAGGATTAGCATGAAAATAACTCATGATTATTGGAATATAACTCCCGAAAATACTTTATCATTGATGTTCATCTCATAGCTATTACTATCATTGAAGGGGGTTTATATAGGTACGGATCCGACAGCCAGCACAAAACCCAAACCCGACAGAAGTTTGCCATGGGCCCCACAGCCTCGTGTGCCATAACTTTTACCGCCGTCATTTTTACTCCACAGAGCGGTAGGTACGGAGTCCTCGCGCAGATCCCCCACTCCAACTACTGCTACTTATATATATCCCCTCCTTCCCCTTCAAACCCACTCTCTTATCGGATCAAGCCGTCGAGATCCGCGTCCGAACCCGAACCCGTTGCGATGGCGAGGAAGAAGATCCGAGAGTACGACTCGAAGCGACTCCTCAGGGAGCACCTCAAGCGGATCGCCGGTATTGATCTCCAGATCCGATCCGCTCAGGTCATTTTTGCCCCCCCTCTCCCCCCCCCTCTCTCTAATTTTCATTTTAAATGCTTTTTTGCCCTTCAGATTTAGTGAGAATTTACTGCGATCGGTCGAGCAAAATTACAGATAAATGGTATATTTCGTCGTCTTGATCGATGTTTACTTAGCGTTCGTCATCAGGTTTAGGTTTAAGCTCAAAAAGAGAAAAAGCAGGTGTATGCTTTTCTTAAATTAAGTCCCTCTGAACATTAGACCCGAACTCCCCGACCTTTTTATGGGCTAAAAGCCTGAACTCACGTGATGGTAACGATTTTTTAAAATCATATTAAATTCGCGGCCGAACTTAGACTCATGCAGCGATGTCAATTTTTAGAAAATACACTTTAAATTCGTGGCCGGTGGGACCATCTTAAAGCAAATCTTTCTTACCATTAGTCCAAAACTCCGAAGTTATAGTGAGGGTCGAAGATTATAGTTTTATATTAAATCTAACAACTTTGATCTATCTTGTTGCTTATGAGACTTGTTTTGCGCCGTCATAATTTTGAATTGTGATGTTAATATTTTAAAACTTCAGGTTACACAAACAACTGATTTCACTGGATTAGTGGACAGTGAACAATGGCTTTCTTCCATGAAATTGGTCGTGAAGCCTGACATGCTATTTGGGAAGCGNTGAACTTGGATATGGCTCAGGTGGCTCAATTTGTTAAAGAACGGCTAGGCATCGAGGTGATCCTAGAATCAACACTGATTTTTTATGTTAGCCCCTCTGACTATTTCACTTAAATATTAACGCAATGAGTGTATTACACAATTAATAACATTAGGTTGAGATGGGCGGATGCAAGGCTCCGATCACAACGTTCATTGTCGAGCCTTTTGTTCCACATGACCAAGAATACTACCTTTCAATTGTTTCGGAGAGGCTTGGTTCTACTATTAGCTTCTCAGAGTGTGGAGGAATTGAAATTGAAGAGAATTGGGACAAGGTATATGTTAGAACTTAGTTTCATTATTATATTACCGATAGGTGGTACTGATACCACTTTTTTACTGCAGGTTAAGACTATATTCCTCCCCACCGAGAAGCCCATGACACTAGAAGCATGTGCACCATTGATTGCAACCCTTCCGCTTGAGGTCCTCCCCACCGAGAAGCCCATGACACTAGAAGCATGTGCACCATTGATTGCAACCCTTCCGCTTGAGGTGAAACATTATGAGCCATCCTATTCATTGTATCAAGTTACTAACCTATTTCTGATTGTCTTTGAATTACAACTATTGATTTCTCTTGTTCTTTGCATCTTTTACTTGTAGCATAGCGAAACCTTATAAGCTTGAGTGGCATTACCTTCTTCATTCATAATTAACGTCTATTGACTCAGGTGCGAGGGAAAATTGGAGAATTCATAAAAGGGGTGTTTGCTGTATTCCAAGGTATACCTAAGGACCTAGTGCTTACTCATTTATTTCACAAAAGTTGTTACAACTATAATATATAAGTTGTAGAGTCTACTACTAGAAAGAACCTTTCTAGCATGTGAGTAACTCAACACAATGTATCGGTTCACACATTCAGTACATGTGCAAAAATTTAAACATCTGCTTTTTCATAATGAGCATCAAGGTTCATGATTCCTTGGCCTTGCAGTAACTGATTCAACCGGATTAATTGCAGATCTGGATTTTACTTTTCTTGAGATGAATCCATTTACCTTGGTAAATGGGGAGCCTTACCCATTAGATATGCGTGGAGAACTGGATGACACAGCAGCTTTCAAGAATTTCAACAAGTATTCTTTTTTTAACTCAGAACTGCCTTGATTTTTTTCTCAGAAATGTGACTATTAAATCCTTACTGTTAAATAAACAGGTGGGGTGATATAGAGTTTCCACTTCCTTTTGGTAGAGTTCTGAGTGCTACAGAAAGCTTTATTCATGGACTGGACGAGAAGGTAACGGAAAATTTTCACTAAATACTGATTTTTTTGGGTCTAATTACACATGTACTTACATTTCCTTTCTGTTTCAGAAAATTTCTTATGAATAATACAAACTGAATTATGATTATTGAACTTGATGCAAGAAAGTTATAGTGGCTAGGAGCCTAGAAATATGTTACAATGCATGTTAAGATGTTTGTCTTTACAGTTTCCATGCACTGATCTCTGCCAAAAACTGGCATTTTACTTTCAGACAAGCGCTTCTCTGAAGTTCACCGTTTTAAACCCGAAAGGACGCATATGGACGATGGTGGCTGGTGGTGGTGCCAGTGTCATATATGCTGATACAGTGAGCATTCTGTCATGTTACTATCCATATTATTTTGTTAGATCAATCAGATAATGATTATTTACATCTCCTAGTTAAAAGTAGGAGGTGTTACTGATCCACTACTTCTGATACCGTCAATTCTTTCAAAGTGGATCAATTGGTCTCGTAGATGTATATCCTCTAACATCTTGAGCTTCACTCAGGTTGGAGACTTGGGTTATGCATCTGAGCTTGGGAACTATGCAGAATACAGTGGTGCCCCGAATGAGGATGAGGTTTTGCAGTATGCTAGAGTTGTTCTTGATGTAAGAGATTTGTTTTACTTGGTTTCTTCATTTGCACTTTTTACTTGTATTTTTATACTAATGAGAACAAAATGAAGAATGTTTAGTTTAGGGTGAATATCAGAAACCCCACCTTAACTTTGTACAATTATTGGAAAACCTCCCTTACCTTTCAAAATATCAGAACCTCCTCCCCCTCCTCCTAAGTCCCTTCCTCCTCCTCCTAAGTGTAGGGATTATCGCAAAACCCTACTTTAACTTTTTATCATAAAACTGCCTTTAATTTTGAGGTTTTATCAGAAAACCCCGCAAACATCTCAAAATCAAAGGTGGTTGTTTTTGTAACCCCTAAACTTAAGGTTTTTTTTTTTTTTGATATTTTGAAAGTTAAAGGAAGGTTTTCTGATTATCAGAAAAGTTAAGGGGTTTTTATGATATTTAGCTTTTAGTTTAAATCCATTATTTAACTGAAAAACTAACTTTCTAGACACCTTCAAATAAGGGATATTATCTGGGAGGGATATTTGTAGAGGTGTAAAGAGATCTAACCTACTTAACTGAAAAACTAACTTTCTAGACACCTTCAAATAAGGGATATTAGCTGGGAGGGATATTTGTAGAAGTGTAAAGAGATCTAACGGGAGGTTTTCGGTAAGAGGGGATCAGAAGTTACTTGCACCTCTTAGGAGCTAAAGTTTGAACTGCATCTATTTTCCAATTTTGAGATTCTAATCAAAACTTCCAGAGAATCATTACTAAAACTCATATCTGTCTAATTTAATTCTGCTAATCTTCTCATCTCAACAGTTTACTTTCCCAATATGGATAATTAGCAGCAACAGCAACATAAAGAATCTAATTATGTGCCAGTAAATCAGCGCACTCGTGCTTATACATGAAGTAGATCATTCCTTTATAAGATTTAGAGGATGATAGAATGGCGAGGGAGAAAGATATATCATCAAGAAATACGGAAGTACATAGTGATTGCTTCAGTTATGACATTCACAACATTTAAGTTAGTAGTAATAAACCATAATCCTCTCGCTTACACTAAACGCTTACTCTTATATTTTGCTATTATAGTGTGCAACTGCAGACCCTGATGGTCGCAAGAGAGCTCTTCTAATTGGTGGAGGAATTGCTAACTTCACTGATGTTGCTGCTACTTTCAATGGGATTATAAGGGCTCTAAGAGAGAAGGTTTGGTTGCTGAAATAACTACCATCTTTCCTCTTTCTAGTATTATGCTTATTTGATTTTTACATGTAGGAATCCAAACTAAAGGCAGCAAGGATGCATATTTATGTTCGAAGAGGTGGCCCAAATTATCAGACTGGTCTCACGAAGATGAGAGCTCTAGGTGTAGAACTGGGCATTCCTCTTGAGGTAACTCTTTCCATCCTATCTCTCCTTATCTCTCAACATGGATATTAAAAACCTCTGAATCATTGATCTTTCATTGTATAATCACTTTCACTTTGCATGTGAGTGATTAATTACACTTGCATTGGTGCTCCAAGCTGCAAATGATGTTTTGTAGGCAGCCTCCTGACTCACTATAGTTTGATAAATATTAATTGCAGAATACACCCCTCTACTATCGATGTTTAACCACTTATTACCCAGGAACTTTGCTATTATCACTTTGACTACTGATGTTCAAACAGAGTCATTCCTCTGTTATTTGTACCTGTCACGCGGATAGTACTTGACATCAACGTATTGCAGAGAGGTCCCCTTTTTCTCTTATAGGTGTTGAGCACACACATTGTATAGTACAAGTTCAAATAACGGAGAAATAACCCTGTTTGGGCTAATGAAAATGTTTAGGGTGCTAAGTGTCTAATTTCTTATCATACATGCGATGTATCTGCAAACACTGATAAATAATTAGCCTTGGGTGTGATAATTTTGTCCAACGTTCTCGGATGATCTTTATTGGGTTTTGCATATGAAAGGAGGCTCTGGGTCAGTTTGGGTTTGGCCTTTTCATTTCGACCTGAACATAATAGCGTGATACTCAACTTTGTTATATTCTGTGTATCACATCTGCGGGCATTCACCACGAATCTAATGAAATACCTTGCGTGTAAGATCAGCTAACAAACAATCTGATGGTTGAGATCGATGATGATTTTCATTTGAGTAAAAAGAAGCTATATTGAGAAGAAAAGAGAATAAAAGACCTGGTTCGAAAGAGTCTAGTCTTCTCCTATTTAGAGTAGCACACTAAAGGGTAAACAACCGAAATCGAACAGTCATTTGGTATTTTACAGGTCATGTCTAGTTGAGTTCTGGTGTAAAATAGAGATCTAATTTAGCCAAGAAATCACCACCTTAGATCATTTTGTCTGACTTTCCTGCTGGAGGCCTAACTAATTGAAAATTGGGAATTTTCACCTGCAGGTTTATGGGCCAGAGGCTACAATGACTGGAATCTGCAAGCAAGCTATTGACTGTGTCATGTCAGCTGCATAAATTCAACTTTTGATTTCCCCTTCAGCCTCTGTTGTCTTTTTTTTTTAAATCACCAAGTGAGGGAGTGGAAATCGAGGGTTGTTGAACTTAATCATCAAGTTTGTCAAGGACATCTCTTCGTCAGGTGTGGGGAAAAAAGTAAAAAACTCTTCATAATTCGAGTTATGCGAGTCTATGTGTGGTTGAATGCAGTTCATTTCGTGTGAATTCTATGCTTTTGCCAAAGCATTCTCAAAATAAGTAGTGTAAGATTGATGATAGAAATGAATAATACATCCGGATATAATAATTTGTACAATTACACATATATTTTAAAAAAACTGATCATCTGCCTTTTTACCCCCAACATGTAAAACTGATGGTAAATCTGAAAAATATTCAAATACGATTCAGTTCTAATTACGTTACGCTATCGATAAGTAACATGATTTTTTCCAGTGGATATAAAAACATTACATAATTATAAAAATGTGGATACAGAGGCAATGAAATTGAGGGAAGAAAACAATTTGAGGGGCAGATTCAAATTCATAATTATGTCAGGGGAAAAAATTAGAAACAGCTACTGAAAAGGGTAGATTTTATGAGTGATATAATGTAGAGGGGGTTATCCGCAAAAAAACGCTCTCCTCTTCCTCCTCCAAAATATCTCTCCCGCTATCTCCCCTCCTCCATCTTCAACCACCTCGAAAATCCCCAAAAATGCACTGCACGATGCGAATAATGGCGGGAACATCCCTAAACCCTAACCTCTTCTCCTCCTCTCCTCCGAACCCCCCGCATACAACTGACGACCCCTTGTTCTTCCCAAAATGCCCCTCCCTGCCGCTCCCCCTCCCAAAAAAACCCCCAAAAGCCCTAACCTAAAACCCCCCTCAAGCAACCAATCCACACCCGACCAAGTACTACAAGCCCCTCCCCAAGTCCCCGCCAGTCGTCGCCGCGACGGCGACCCGGTCGTGATCCTCGCTCCTCCGGCATCTCCTACCTCCTCCCTGACGCCCCCTTTGAGTTTCAGTTCTCGTACTCGAGACCCCGAAGGCGCGGCCTTTGCCAATCAGGGAGCCGGCGTTTCTGGCGTTCGCGCCGCGACGATGAACCGGCCGTGGACGGGGAAGGCGCCGCTTGTCTCAAGAAGGAGAAGGAGAGGAAGAAGAAGATTAGGCTTTTCGAGCCGCCGGCGTTGGGGGAGGAGGAGGGTGAGGAGGAGGGGGAGAGGAGCAGGAGGATTGCGGGGAGGAGGGTTGATGAGTTGGCGAAGGGGAGCGCTGGGGATGGGAGGAGTAGGGAGGAGATTTTGGGGGCGCGGCTGACGAGGAAGGAGGTTAGGGAGCTGGTTAAGCCGTGGTTGTCGAATTTGGTGAGAAATTTTGTTTATTGTTTCTTTTGTTTTGTATACATTTTGACCGTCTACATGTTTCTTTTGTTGGAGCTAGAATTTTAGTGATTTTTTTTTTTTTTGCAAATTTTCTTCTATATTGTGAAAATTGCACTTGATAGGTAGTGGAGTGGTACTAAGAGATGCAGTTGGGTGATGATAGCTACTATAGACTGTAGATTCAAAGAATTGGGTACTAATAGTTTCAATTGTATCAAAATAACAATCTTTTATTGATTATAATTGATAGTGAAGGAATGTCCACTAAGAGTCTAAGACTAGCCAGATCTTTTGAAATGTCAAGCAGCATGGCGTCGGGGGAGGAAAGTGGAGGAAAGTAGAGGCATTGAAGTGTCGGGTAATTGTTTCTATGTGGAACATGGAGGCATAATTTTTGCGGGTTTCTATTTGTTGAGTTATTCAGGGTTTAGGACTTGTCCCTACTAATAGATGGATGATTAGTTTCCATGCGTAAGGGCTAATTGGACTTGCATCAATTATGCGTTACTCTAAGGATTAGTAAAGAACGAAGTTTACCTTTGCATGTAATATATGTGAGATCGTTTACTCCTTCAATTTGTTATCCTGGTGAATCACAAGGGTTCGGTTGTTATTTTATGGGATATAACTGTAAATGCTTTCAGGAACTTGACCCATATGTGGTCCCATGCTGATAGTTTTGACACAAAGACTGTCATTGGTTATCTTTAGAGGTAAAGACTGATGTCCCGTTTCATGATCTACTAGAGTGAGACATATGTAGCGTTCAATTCGTAAGAAAACGCTGTCCAATTAGCTCAGTAAAATAGGTTTCTTCCTAGTTGCTGTCACCTTTCTACTATGCATAATACAAATTAAAATACTTCACCTCTATAATGGACAATGACCGTAGATCTATGTATGTTTTTGGTAAACTAAAAGTTATCTTATTCTTATCAGAATGAAGACAGATAAATACACCTGTGCCCTGCTGGTCCTTTTAGGTCACAAATGCAAGTTTTTACCAAAATTCCGTAATGATAACGCTTATTGCTACTTTGTTCAATAATACTTTGAATATGCAGGTAGGGATGGGCTAACTCATAACATGCTAGAGATGATTCATGCGCATTGGAAGCGCCAGGAAGTTTGTAAGGTTCGATGTAGAGGTGTTCCAACTGTTGATATGGACAATGTCTGCTACCATCTCGAGGTTGTCTTCTTCAATGTTTTTCAAGCTTAGGTGAACTTTTAATCTACAATTATTTGACCTGTTTATGGACAAACTCATAACCAACCATTGCCTTTGTTCTCTTTTTCTTTGTCATCACCATCCACAACCTTGTCTCCTCTTTTGTACTGGTGTTACCTTCTTGTCATGTGAACTATAAATAGTTTAAATTATGATGGGGTATCTATATAGAATTTCCACTTACCTTGATTGCAAAATAATATGTTAGTAAATTAGTATCAAAACGGTAAATTTCTATACTTCTAATCTGGTGCAGCTTGCACTTGTAAAAGAAATTATTAAAATGCTTGATGAGCTTCATGCATCTCTTTCTAGAATAATATTTTGACTCGATTTATGTTGAATTATGCAAATCTTATAAGAAGAAATAGGCATGAAGTGGTATCACATTTTGCTAAATGAGCTGCCAAACATGCGAGTCCCACCTTGCTAGTCACAATTAGAAGGTGTGAGCCTCAACACAACTTATATCTCTTGTCAGCTCACCTTGTTATTGGAGATTTTGCAACTCATATCCAGTATCATGACCTTCATTTGTTACATCAGTGAGGTGGTATCACATGGTTAAGACACTCCTTGCATGGGCATTCACCATTTGATTTTTCACTGTCTAGCTGTTTGGGCATGCATTTTTCTATTTTTTGACATGGTTAAGACACTCCTTGCATGGGCATTCACCATTTGATTTTTCACTGCCTAGCTGTTTGGGCATGCATGGGCAAAATTGTAATTATAAGGTAGCACTTTCCACTAAATGACACTTGATTGTGACAGGAGAAAACTGGAGGAAAGATCATACATCGAATTGGCGGTGTTGTTTTTCTATTTCGTGGCAGAAACTATAACCCTCGCACTAGACCTCGTTATCCTATAATGCTCTGGAAACCAGCTGCTCCAGTGTATCCAAAACTTATTCAGGATGCTCCTGAAGGACTAACAAAAGAAGATGCAGATGAGTTCAGAAGAAAAGGGCAAAAGCTATTGCCAATTTGTAAATTAGGTGCTGATATCTGGTTTTAGATTTCCCCCTTCATTTCTGACTTTCTTTGATATTTTTGCATTCATATTTATTAGAGACAAAAGGCTGACTGCATTCTGTCCTTTTCTGCTCTTATCTTGCAGCAAAAAATGGAATATACCTGAATCTTGTTAAAGATGTAAGAGATGCCTTTGAAGGAAGCCCTTTGGTAAAAATCAACTGCCAAGGGATGCATGCAAGTGATTACAAAAAGATAGGTGCAAAACTGAAGGTCCATGAAATGTGTAATTTATTTCACATGCATTTGTCTGAGGAGATGGATAAACAAGTAGCGCTTGCTCCCACTTTCTGATGTTTCCTCCCTTTTGGATGACAGGAACTAGTCCCCTGTGTGCTATTATCTTTTGATGAGGAGCAGATCTTGATGTGGAGAGGCCATGGTTGGCAACCAAGGTATCGGGCACCCACTCCTTCCATTTCAAAGGTTGACAAGAACGACACTAGTGCTTTGTCTGATGCCGAAGGTATGACAATTTATTAGTTTACGTTCTATTCGATCTGTGGTTGGACTTTGTTTTAGATTTTAGCATGCTTTCTAATCTTACGAGGTGCTTGCAATTATGATGTTACATTTAACTGTAGAAAATTTATAATGAATTATTTGTAGAAATTTAAAGTTGGTCACGGATCAAATTCAGCTCTTACCCCAGTTTTTGCCAATCTCTTCTTGAATGTTGACATGCCTAATACTGGTCTTGAGATTGGATGCCATCATATCTCCAACAAAATGGAACTGGACCCATTAGAAATGTGTTAGAAATGTCACTTGGATATTTTAATTTACCTGGGCATTTTAATGTCCGAGAAACCTTATTTATCTATAATCACATTTGAAAGAAATACCTAAAGCACATGCATGCCCTCTTGGTAAGGATTTTTACCCCTTCTATACCTCACGATCTTGTTGCTAAAATTCTTTTTCTACCTTTCTTTTTCTGAAGAAGAACTTCATGCTTATCTGAGATAACCTGTAAGTAATGCTTACAATTGCTGAATATACTTCTGATGTTCTTTGAGATAACCATAGACGCTAAAAAGTATAGTAAGGTAGCGTTACCCATAGTATTAGCTGTAATTCCAACTTATATTTTGTGAAAACTGATGCACATTGATATCGCTTGCAGGCTCATCAAGTGGCATTGGTGATGAGAGCACAACCGAACTAGAAGCAAGTAAACCAAAGATGTTTTTACTATGGAAACAAGCAATCGACTCACACAAGGCCCTACTTATAGACGAGAATGCTGAACTCACTCCAGATTCACTTCTTGAAAGGGTGGAGGAATTTCAAGGTATGTCGCAGGCAGCTGAACATTCATACCCTGCCTTAATTTTGCGCGGGGGTGAAGACACCAATAATACAGTCAAGTCTAACGACAATGACGAGGTTGATGACACTGACGAAACTAGTGAAGATAACGAAGATCGAGAGATCGATCTAAATGATTCGTTTGAGGAGGTGGATCCTTGGGCACCTCATGGTTCATTACCAGTTGATGTGATAGCGGAGAGAGGCCAAGTGTAGAATGAATACGGTTTGTGTGGTGTGGATCCCCACCCATCTCATCACAAAGAAGGGGAATGAAAAGATATCCAACTGTAATTGGAAAGTGTATGTAAATGTTGCAGCTGATTGATTTTTTACATTGCCCTTGTATTTACATAAACGCCTTTGATAATAAATTCTTGTTATTGATCTGTTGCAAGCTTATTTGCTTCTGCGGTATGATTTGCTGCAGGGATTGTTCGTGGAATTTTTACAATGAAAGATTGGCAATACGTTGTGAAATCCTAACTATTTTGGTTTTTAGATATTGGTTTCAAATATCATATTTGAATGCAAGTCCCACAGATCATCATCAATATTAATCTAAGCCCCTCGAACCTCATCTGTTTGGATATGAGTCCCCCAAATCATTGCGTTTAAACTATTACGCTCCTTAAAATAAGTCCACATGTTAGCTTTCGTTCACTTATTAATCCAAAATAAACTAATAATGGCCTTGAACCCTCTTGCATAGGTAAAAGAGTTAATGTATCCTTTAAACCTATTTAAAACCAACTTCAGCAAAACTATATTTGAAAGATACCTGCTTGTGCCAGGGAAAACTTAAAACATGTTCAAGATGAAAGTAAATGTACATTTTGGGTAATTAATAATATTGACATGTATATAATAAGGGTGAAGGTCACTTCGATGCCACAAAGTTTATTTGTTTTTAGCAGTGCCGAATAGATAACATAAGTTGTTTAGAATTAGCACGTAAGTGGCCTCAATCAATAATCATGGAAACTTGTTAGTTTTATAATTTTCTAATCATTGATATTTGTTAAGTTTACCATTAAATATGTCACATGTCTATTTTATAGTAGAATTAAGACATGTTTTAAAAAAATATGGTAGATTTAGTATCAAATATTAAAAATATCATTTGTTAAAAGCTCTAAAATTAGCATATAAGTATTATAAAGAAACATTCGGGTGAAAATTTTCACGTTTGCAATCGAATGTACTAACATGCCAATGGTATTTTTTTTTTGCCAGAAAAAGCAACTCATGGTGTATAAGTGCCAAAATGGAGAGACTTTGTGGTAACTAAGCCCCATTTAGCCTATAAATAAATTAATCTGAAATAACAATTCCAAATTTTCAATGGTTCAATATCGCAAAAACCTAGTTACATGCTAAATTGCACAAAAATACAATAAAGTTTTCTATTTTGACAATTAAATATCACAAGTTGCATCTTGATACGATAAAATATTATAAAGTCACCACAATTTGTGTATTACTAGGATCGATCATGCAAACATGGAAATTTTCACCCAAATGTTTTTCTGTGATACTTACATACTAATTTCAGAGCTCTCTAACTATCATTATTTGTTAAAATTTTCATTAGAAATATCTCAACTCTATTTTAAAATAGAATTAAGATAAGTTACAAAAGAATTTTTGTAGACTTAATAGTAAATTTAATAAACATTATTAGTTAGAAGCTCTAAAATTGGCATGTTAGTACCCTCGATTATGCAAACGTGACAATTTTTAACCGAATGATTCTCTATCATACTTATATGCTAATTTTAGAGGTTTTAACTATTAATATTTATTAAATTTACTATTAAACCCACCAAAATTATTTTTAAGCTTATCTTAATTCTACTTTTTAAATAGAGTTGAGATATTTCCAATGAAAAACCTTAACAAATAATAATGGTTAGAAAGCCTGAAAATTAGTATGTAAATATCATAGAGAAATATTCAGAAAATTTTGATATTTGCATGATCAATGGTAGTAACATGCAAATTTTGAAAAGTTCATAGTTTATATATGATAGTTGTGAAAATTACCTGGATGGTTATCATAAATGGGAAGTCGAGTATGGCAAAAAAAAAAAAAAAAGGGAAGTCGAGTCGCGTGATGGGCCCAACGGCCTGGTCCATTACCAAACGTAGCGGCGAAAAAGGATAAACCAAAATTATGAAGAAACCTCAAATCTCTCTCTAAATTACGTGCGTATCCTTCCAAACTCCATAAATTTCTTCTCCTTTAATCAATCTCTCTCTCGATCGATTTCGAATCCAAGGAGGGAGAAGAAGAAGATGCGGCCGTTCAAAGAAGAATTCACCTTCGGTTAGTCTCTTCTTCTGTAATTTTTTGATCAAAATTTTTTTCTTTTTCATTTGTTTTTAGGGTTTACTGAAATTGGATTTGACCTGTTAATGTGCAGGGGAGAGATTTGAGGAGTCGAGAGATATCCTTTCGAAATATCCTGATCGAGTACCTGTGAGTACAAATTTTTGCTCAATTTCGTGGAATCCAAAGCCAGGATCTTCAATTTTCAAGGACGAGGTTTTGGCTGTTGTTAGATGAATGGAGTTGTTTTATTTTAGAGTAAATTACACAAAACCCCTATGTCCTTTCAGTCTTTTGCAGTAAACCCCCATGAACTTTCAACATCTCGACAAACCCACATGAACTTTATGGAATTGCAGAAAACCCCCATGAACTTTATGAGTTTTGTAGATAACCCCTATAAATTAGGACTAAAAACCAACATAAGAAAGTTCACAGGGTTTAGTGTAATCTACCTAAAAGTTCATGGGGTTTTCTGCAGAAGTTATTGGGGGGTGTAGTGTGATTTTGAAAGTTCACAGGGATTTAGTGTAATTTATCTAAAAGTGTTTTTTTGTTTGTGGTGGTGGTGGTGGGGGGT